AGACTTCATTCTTCTCTTTATCTTCATCCTTCTCCTTATTTTCATCCTTCTCTTTATCTTCATCTTCATCCTTCTCTTCATCTACATCCTTCTCTTCATAATTATCCTTCTCTTCATATTCATCCTTCTCTTATATTTATATATCTCTCAATTGGTCGGACCGATCTGAAAGAAATTTTAGGTTTGATGGGAAAATTTTTTACGTATTTTTTTTGTGTTACCATGTGATTTTTAAGCAAATAAAGACAATATTCCAAAATATTGCAAAAATACCAAAAATGAAAATTTCACGAAAAAAATTATTTTGAATATATATACAGTAGTCTGGGTGTCTGTTTCTTTGTCGGTCGATCATAACTCTTGAACCCCTTGACAGATTTCTCTCAAAATTTGATTGGGGAACTTGGTGGAAGCACGAAAAGGTGCTTAGCTTGGTTTACAAATTCTTAGTTTCCAGGCAAAGCTGGATTCCCAAGCCAGTCTTCTATAACATTTGGGAATTAGTAAGAAAACATAATTCTTTATCTGGAAATCATTAGTTTAAACTGAAAAGCCTTGATTCTAATGGACTCTCCTCCCCATTTTGCTGAAATCTGTCTTTTAATTAGATTACAATAAGTGATGTTTCTAAATTAAAGAAATAAAATATATATGTGTTTTATACCAAAGTCCAATTTGTCTATTTCTTGAAATATGTTTAGATTATAGATATAGATATAGATTCCTAAAATAACTGTAATTACAATCTATTCTGTCAAAGAAGTTCACACAGTACAGCAAGTATTAAAACCAGTCACACAAATAAACAAAACTAGAAAATGATGTAAAAGTAAATCAAATTTATTCAATGATTCAAAATTCCTACACCATAGAATAAACTATGGGCACTGAACTCATGCCAGCGAGATTGTATCATTGTGCTTTTGCTTTTCTATAAATAACTGAATGTATAAACAGGGCAGTTAAAACAGATTATCCGAGGTATCCGTAAGCACGGGGATATCCGTATCCGTATCCGTGGTGGGCAGCGTATCCGTATCCGTAAGCACTGGGATATCCATATCCATGTCCGTATCCGTATCCGCCATAGTAAGCATCAGCATCAGCATCAGCAGTGGGCTCAGCATCAGCGGACCTCTTGCCGTAGTGGTGTCCGTAGGCGTAGGGGTGAGCATAGGCGCTGTATCCGTAGTATCCTCTGGCGTATCCGTAAGGATGGGCGGCATAGGATCCATAGGCATAAGGAGAAGCATATCCGTATCCATATCCACCATAGTAGGCATCAGCATCAGCGGTGGGCTCAGCAGCGGCAGTGGGCTCAGCCTCTGCAGTGGGCTCAGCATCAGCAGACCTCTTCACAATGTGGACAGCACCACCGGAGTTAGCGTAGTACCTGGGGTAAGCAGAATAGGCTCCAGCATGATATCCATGTGCAGCGTAAGGGGCATAAGCATAAGCACTGTGGGCATAGGGGAGGGCTCCATATCCATAGGCTCCATACAGATATGCGGCATCAGCCGCAGGCTCAGCATCGGCAGCCACACAAGCGGCAAAGCAAACCTAAAGAATAAATTCAAATAATTTTTCATAGAAAATATTTATTTCAAGAAAAAGAAGGAAAAGGTGTTTTTTGAAAAAAGAAAGGTTGATACCAAAGATTGAGCAGGTTGAAACCGGAGATAAGAGAATAGGTTGAAACTAGAGATAAAAGAGTAGGTTAAAACAGGGATAAGAAAGTAGGTTAAAACCAGAGAAAAGAGAGTAGGTTGAAACCAGAGATAAAAGAATAGGTCGAAACCAAAGATTAGAGAGTAGAGTAGGTTAAAACCGGAGAGAGTAGAGGGTAGGTTGTGAAGACGGAGATAGCAGAGTAGGTTGAAACCAAAGATAACAAATAGGATAAATAAAGAGATAAGAAAGTAGGTTGAAACCAGAGATAATAGAATAGGTTGTGAAGCCAGTGATAGCGGAGTAGGTTGAAACCAAAGATAAAAATGTATACTAAATCAAGAGATAAGAGAGTAGGTTGAAACCAAAGTTAAGAGAGTAGGTTGAAACCAGAGATTAGAGAGTAGGTTGAAACCAGAGATTAGAGAGTAGGTTGAAACCAGAGATTAGAGAGTAGGTTGAAACCAGAGATTAGAGAGTAGGTTGAAACTTACCACAACTGCGAACTTAAGCATGATTGTTCTCACTGGCAGTGAATGATTTTGATGGGAACAACGTCTCCTTTTATACTTTAAGAATACGTGCGCGCATATTGCGATAACGCGCTACCGGCGCGCAGTAGACGCTGTCAATGTTTCACGCGCGCATGTGGAGGAGGGGGAGGTGCAGGCTGGTTTGGGGGTGTGGCAATAGAAAACGGTTTCATTCTTCTTTACACAATGGTCTAAAAGTAGACACAGAGGACCGGTATTTTCAAATATATAAGTTCTCAAATCTCAATCTTAAAATACGTAATAAAAAACCCACCAAAATTCAATAAAATATTATGTACGTCGTTTTCAGTTTCTGTATGTAATGGGATTATATTAATAAAAAGAAAATTTGAGATTGTAACAAAACTAATTTTCTACGTAGTTGTAACATTTGTAACAAATATACAGTGTTACCATGAAATCTATTCAACGTATAAACTGGAAAAACAAAAACTTGTTTCTTCTGAGAATCCAAATATTCTGGTTACCTTCCGTTGAACCTATTGACCTTAGTTTTTTACTTTATTTATGTTCTAATTACAACGTTTTAAAATTGGTAAATCAAAGTGTTACAATAAAAACGAATCGTTATCTTTCTCTACCTTCACTTTCCTTTTATATCTCTTTATCTTTCTTTCCCTTCACTTTCCTTTTACATCTCTTTATCTGTCTTTCCCTTCACCTTCCTTTTACATCTCTTTATCTTTCTCTCCCTTCACTTTCCTTTTATATCTCTTTATCTTTCTTTCCCTTCACTTTCCTTTTACATCTCTTTATCTTTCTTTCCCTTCACCTTCCTTTTACATCTCTTTATCTTTCTTTCCCTTCATCTTTCCTTTTAAATCTCTTTACATTTATCTCCCTTCACCTTCTTTTTACATATCTTCTAAGATGAAATTATGAAAATTAATCTAATTAAATCGTTAAATCAAGATATATGGAAGACTAGAAATCAAGATCAATGGAAGACTTGAAATCAAGATATATGGAAGACTAAAAATCAAGATATATGGAAGAATTGAAATCAAGATATATGGAAGACTGGTAATCAAGATATATGGATTAAGACTAGAAATCAAGATCTATGGAAAACTAGAAATCAAGATCTATGGAAGACTAAAAATCAAGATCTATTAAAGACTAGAAATCAAGATATATGGAAGACTAGAAATCAATATCTATAGAAGACTAGAAATCAAGATATATGGAAGACTAGAAATCAAGATCTACGGAAGACTAGAAATCAAGATCTATAAAAGACTAGAAATCAAGATCTATGGAAGACTGGTAATCAAGATCTATGGAATACTATAAATCAAGATGTATGGAAGACTAGAAATCAATATCTATAGAAGACTAGAAATCAATATCTATAGAAGACTAGAAATCAAGATATATGGAAGACTATAAATCAAGATATATGAAAGACTAGAAATCAGGATATATGAAAGACTATAAATCAAGATCTATGGAAGACTGGTAATCAAGATCCATGGAAGACTAGAAATCAAGATCTATGGAAGACTAGAAATCAAGATCTATGGAAGACTATAAATCAAGATCTATGAAAGACTATAAATCAAGATATATGAAAGACCATAAATCAAGATCTATGGAAGACTATAAATCAAGATCTATGGATTAAGACTATAAATCAAGATCTATGGAAGACTATAAATCAAAACCAATGAAAAACTAGAAATCAAGATCAATGAAAAACTAGAAAACAAGATCAATGAAAAACTATAAATCAAGATATATGAAAGATTAGAAATCACTGAATGGAAGTTATAAATAGATGGATTAAAAACTAGAAACAAAGATATATATGGATGAAAGGCTTTAAATATCTCTACCCCCCCCCCCCCCCC